AGGTTTTATGGTCATTGTGACCTGTAACCGTGCAGGCCTTACAACCCCAAAGATATTTAAGAAATATACTATTCACCCAAACCCAATATAGAGGCGCAAATGAAGTCACAGGCATGCTGTTCAAATGTTAAGTGCACCGATTGCAAACTAAGTTTGGTTATTTTAGGGTCCCACATGAAGGATTTGTATCAAAGTTTCACTGTCCTGGTACCATGAGTAATAAAAAAAAATACATGTATATTAATTGATCGTCTAGCCCCAAGAAGGAACATACGTTACTGTCACAAAAAAAAAAAAAAAAAAAAAAAAGCTGTGAAATGCCCCTTAAGTTACAGTTAAAATATTTATAAAACATTATAAAACCGTCCTTACGTCCTGTTTAATTTGCCATTGCTGAATCACTACAAAATATATCGGAACGCAGTATAAACTTGAGAATTAAATGACCCGGAACATACGTTACCGTGCGTTCCTGGATAATACATTACCATTTAGGGTTCTTTGCATAACGTAAAGACATGATAAAATCATAAATTCAATTAAAATTGAGACAGTCGTGGATTTTTGTTCCACACACACACACACACACACACACACACACACACACACAGGTATTGTAGCGTTCTCGCCCTAGTTGATTTTTTCCCTTGGATTGGCGGATGGAGGCGATCTAAGGCAAAAAAGATTAGGCGGTTTTTCTTTCATGTACGTCTGCCATAATTAGTCCCCAGGATTTGTAAAGCCTTGCTCAAATCGTTGTGAATGCGGTCTATGTTTACATTAAATCTAAAGTTCTTAATAGTCTTACCGAAACGTACCCTTGGCTGTCTCTCTTTTGGCCTCTAAATTATTTTCTTTGGTATAGTGTTTTTATTCGGAAACATGCTAATATGACGTTCGGTGGGGTGGAGTGTGGGTTATTAAAAAAACAGATTTTATTGGTTTAAACCGTCCTGTGAAGTAACCGCGAGATCGACGGGTAAGGTGATACTTCTCGGCATGAATTGAAAAAGGCAAATTGATAAATTGCAGGGTATTCCCTAGTATATTACTTATAAATTGTTATTCTCTTATGCTCCCCCTCCCTGACCCTCTTGTAATAAATATTCATTTCTTTCATATGAGAGATATGAGATCGTAAATTAACTTATCTCAACTGCACTCCGGGGAATCATTCCTTAAGAAAGTGAACGTTTGAGTCCCGTTACCGACGCTCATGCTTTACATAACGTTTTATTAGGGTTTCATATCACTTTTAACAACTGTTGGCTGCTTTCCCTGTTAGAGGGTACATGCGCATATAACATAAACCAGAGAAAATAATGGAACATGCCATATATTTATGCCGATATTAAACTAAATATGCGTGGCTCACATTTTCATTTTTTGTTTTTTGAACATTGAACATAATATTTTTGGGTTAGAGTGTCCACATCTGTAGCGGTGTTTTAAAGGGTCAGGAAGTTAACAGGTTTGAGACACACCATCATGACAGTGAGTGAGGACCACCCCCCCCCCCCCACACACACACACACACAATCACCCACGAATTATAATGTCTTGAGCACATGATGCAAAGCACGCCATATAAATATTGTAGTATTAAAAACATCTAAAAGGAAGTCACGCGGCAAAACTTTTGTGTACTTTAAAAAATGTGGGAATATGTTATAGCAAATACAATACGAATTTAAATAATTGCAATGTATTTCTTTCTTACATTCAGTTTACGTACGTTTTTTGGTAGCCTCTAAAAGTTTAATACCTGAAAAATTGGAGAACATAAGAGAGTCAGCCAAGGACACGTTTGCGGAACACGTTTCAGCATGTCATAATGGACATTTACAGGTGTAGGACCAGAACAGAGCTTCTTGTAAACAGTTTAGACCGAATTTGATTTGAGGATCAGGGGAGAGGCTTAACAACCCGGTTGGTAGGATGTCTGTGCTGGATGCTCGGCTGGAAAGCAAAATCTCTATGTTGCAGTGATAACAAAGCTCCGCTACTAAGATGGGCGTATTACCATGCAGATCGAGAGAGTCCTCTATCAACTACAAAGCTCCGCTACTAAGAGGGGTAGTGAGTCTGACGGCTGTAGCATCTGACTGCCGCTTTCTGCTTTGCACCCCTTTTTATATGGTATATGGGCGTGTGCCATGTTCGATTATGAGTAAAATTGAGGCGTTCTTCAGTTTGTCAGTTACTAAAATCCAGCCGGCCAATAAATGGTGTCCTTTACGGCAATTATGAGCACGGCATAACTAAAAGTTGATTTAAATGAATTAAAATAACTGTGATATATATCTTCGGTCTAAACTTTGAATTTATTCTATTTTATATTTTGGTAATTCAGCAAAATTGCACCTCTTCTTTGGGTTTTGGGCGCATTAGGGGAAATGTAAAGTTCATAAATATATACATGTAAATATTCAAATGTTTGCATAACAGGAATTTGATGAAAAATTGTGCATTTTTTACCTAGAAGCATGAAATTTGGCACAGTCGTGCACAATGAAATTCTAAGCAAATTTGGATATATGGGCATGTCTGAAAATTCCAAAATGGCCATCACATCCAAGATGGCAGCCAAAAACCCTTTCAAATTAAAAACGTCAAGTCCATACTCTTTTAATGGCTTAAAATATCATATGAAGGTTAGAAAACACTATCGCATGAGCTCTTCAGATGTATAAAATCCAAAATGGCCGCCAAAAGTAATAAAGCTCTCCACTTATTCAAGATATCCATTAGAATGGTGAATTCATCATACACTTAAAATTACAAGCAAAAAATTTGGCACAGTTGTGGACAGTGAAATTATGAGCAGTTTGGGTGTACTGGCATGTCTGAAAATTCCAAAATGGCCGCTTTATCCAAGATGGCCTACAAAAACACTCTTTCAAATTTCAACGTAAATTATATTGTCTTTAAATGGCTGAAATATTAAATAAAAGTTAGAAAACACCATGGTATGAACTCAGTATCAATACCTGCTTTTTTAGGCGTATTAAATCCTAAACGGCCGCCAATAATAAAAAGCAGCCCACTAATCCAATATATCCAATAGAATGGCGAATTCATCAAAAACTACAAGCATATCATTTGACACAGTTGTATACAGCGGGATATATAGCAATTTTGGATGTATGGGCATGCAAAAATTCAAATACATATGGCCCCCAAGTCCAATGTGGCCACCACAAATACCCGTTTAAATTAAAAATTCAAGTGTGTACTCCTATTGTAGCTTAAGATAACATTTTATGGATAGATAACACAATGGTATGAGTAAAGTATCAGTATCTGCTTCTTTAGGTGTATAGAAACCCCAAAGTAAGGGAAACAGGCCACTCACAGCATCAGTATGGTGAATTCATCATGCACTTAAAACATAGGCATGGAAATTGGCACAATTGTAGAGAACAGGATTATAAGCTATTTTTAGATATAGTGAAAATTCTAAAATGACCACCAAAACTCCTTTTTAAAGTAAAAATCCTACTTCATAATCTGGAATATATTTGGTTTGAAAACAACTCATTTTACATGAATTATCAAAAACTGCTCCTTTAGTTACAGAAAGACCCAAAATGACTCATTTTGGTCAAGTTGTGACCACTATTTGCAACATTTCTATAGTTGCCACAGGATATGAAATTGTCAAGGTATTTTCACAAATTAGTTTTAAATTAATGTTATTTTGTCAAGTAGACGTTGCACATGTTATGGGCGATCAACCCATTACTTTAGTAAATAGAGAATTTGCAAAGGGCTTGAATGCTACATATTTTTACGTTTCTACTCATTTGGTTAAAGTCATAATAACTCTTCGTTTTGGCCAAACATTGATTTTCCTGGAAAAACGGCAATTTTCCCGTACTTACCAATGGTCAACGACCCTATTCCTGCATTCAAAGTTAGTCCAGGTTCTTTTTTCCTAAACGTACTGTTTTTTTTTTTTTTTTTTTTAAATCACTTAAGATATTTTAACTGACGGAGCCCTCTCTCACATCGCATAGTCACTGGTGACCTACTTAAAACCGCGGGAAAAGCAGACAACAACAACACTATATTACAATAATATAAGATCCATGAGAAATATTCGTCTTTTTGTTAAATGCATTTATATCCACAATGTGTGCCATTCTGGGCTTTTCGTTATTCCACGCACTGTACAAAAACTCGCAACTTACGTCTGCGTCTGCAATCAACGGGTTTGACGCCATGTTAATTTGGTCTCGAATGAACGCGAGAATCCGCGTGACACCATTACTAAGAAAGGCATCGAAAGCCCTATTGACAAGCACAGATTTTAGTTTTACTACAATAACGGTCGTTTTAGTGGTAAAGCACAATGGGGTATAGTTCCATGTGTTGTTTACAATGCATTTCTTGCGGATTTTGAATCTCAAAGAAAGAGTTATTATTGCTTTAAGTAATTATCATTTATTCAAGTGTGCCTAGTTTTAGTTGTGTTTCCCTCATCTTTCTCAGAATTTGCCTAAAGCCTTCTACATGAACATTCTACATGTAATCCACAACAAAATAACGAAAGGCATTGGTCATTTTAAACACCCCAGAAATAATAATAAACTAACCCAAGTATTCAGCAGTCAACACGTACCCTGCTCTTTGTGAAGGTGACTCTACCCAGGTAATCTTAGTAATATCACTCATCACCATTCGCATGTAACTAACCAAGCTTCTGGTAGTTCGGCGGGTCGAAACTCCCTTCTTTTTTGGCAAATAATGTATCCCACAAATATAGGAAATGCATATCAAAATATAGTTGCAACAAGATCATTTCAATGGTCACAAATCTAGAAATAACGCTGCCATTAATGTGTGGTCTAAGAACACCATAATTTGGATTTAAAAACCTTTATTTAAATTATTTCACTGTGTAATATTCCATCAATTATTAAAATCAATGTAGACGGATAAGCTGCCAAGATCATTATTTCAAAAAGTTATATTTCCGTTTATTATTATTATTCTAGTTGCCCCATGTCAGCTCCTCTCAGTACAGCTACCAGGAAAACTTGCTGAACTTAAAGGCCGTGAAGACTTGGTACAGCAAATACAGCAGCATATTACAGGTGAATCTCGACTTGTTCTTCTTACTGGGATGGGGGGCATTGGGAAGACATCAGTGGCTATTGAGGTCGGGCATCGCGAACAAAATGTACTGTATATTGATATGAGACAAGTCACCAATCTTGACTCTGTGAAGTTATCTCTAGTCCAGCACTACCACCCAACAAGTTCCCTGAAAGATTTATACAGTGACTATCAAAATGTATTCATACAATCTCTGTCTAGTTTAACTTCAGACACTGTTATAATATTTGATAACAATGATGAGGTCATTAAGTCAAATTTGCAGGAATTTCACAGCTTGATCCAATGCATTTCGAATTCAACAAAGCATGTCACTTTGTTGTGTACCAGTCGTGAATCATTCAGTGTCATGTCACATAATATGGCTGTCCTAGACGTACCTCCCCTTGATAAGGCACCCTCCACTGATATCCTTTGGGAAGGAAAAGCCACCAGTCCCACTGATAGTGAGTCAATAGTGTTAGGTGAATTAGCAGAGAAATGCGGGGGGAACCCCCTTGCACTCAAATTATTAGCAGTTCAACTCAAGAAAAAAACTGCGCAACGAGTATTAGATAGGATGCAAAACAAAAATGTTATTGAAAACCTTAAGGTAGCAAATCTTCCAGCTTCTCAAGAAATGATGGCATGCCTGGATATGTCTTATGAAACACTGAATACTGAAGAACAAAGAGTGTTTCGAGCTTTACATATATTCCCAGTTTCATTTCACGTGGAAGAAGTTTCAGGAATTTTGAAAATAGATGAGGATGAATGTGAATATATCCTTGACAGTCTTTGCAACAAATCTCTCCTAGGTGCAGACCACAGTGTGTATGATCTCCATCCCTTATTAAGAGCTTATGCAGCGTTTCAAGCTGGAACAGATCAAAATGAAATAGCTGGCATTCAAGATGCGTACTGTAAACATTACATGAAACAGACTCCTCTTCTGCTATCCGAATTTGAAACCCTTTCGTCCAAAGAAACATACGGAAAAGCCAAAAAAACACTGCCCCATCTGAAGGTTATAGCTAGTTTGCTGACAGATCAACTTGGCAACAAAAACCTACACGATGAAGGAATGACATTTATACAATTAAAAAATCTATATTCCATTGCTCGTGTATGTCAAAACGTTTTCCTGTACCCTGAAGCCTTAACGATACTAAGAACATTGGAAATGTTTGAAGGAAAAGATTTCCCATTTGAACAAATAAGTCCATTTATATATGGCGCGATTGCAGAAGTGCTGCAGGGAATGGGAAACTACAAAGAGGCACTTGCATATCAAGAGAAATCTCTTGACGTCAAGCAAGCAATACTGGGAGAGAAACACCCATTGACTGCTAGCACATACCAGAATATTGGCAGTGCACTATGGTCCATGGGTAAGTTTGCAGACTCACTTACATATTATAAGCAATCTCTTGATATCCAGAAAGAAATAGTGGGTGAGAAACACTCTGATACTGCAGGGACATACCAGAATATTGGCAGTGCACTGTGTGCCATGGGTAAGTACCAAGAGGGACTTACATATTATTATAAATCTATTGAAATCGTTAAAGAAACCTTTGGTGAGAAACACCCTCTTGCTGGCATGGCATACCAGAATATTGGCAATGCACTATGTGAAATGGGTACGTTCCAAGAAGCACTTCCATGTTATCAGAAATCTCTTCAAATCATGGAAGAAATCCTCGGTATGAAACACCCTGATACAGCGGGAGCATACCAGAATATTGGCAGTGCATTATGTGCCATGGGTAAGTACCAAGAGGCACTTACATATCATGAAAAATCTCTTCAAATCATTAAAGAAATCTTTGGTGAGAAACACCCGGATACTGGTAGGGCATATCACAATATTGGCACTGCACTACTGTCCATTGGTACGTACGCAGAGGCACTTACATATTATGAGAAATCTCTTGAAATCATTAGAGAATTTTTTGGTGAGAAACACCCTTATACAGGCACGGTATACCAGAATATTGGCAATGCACTATGTGACGTTGGTAAGTACGCAGAGGCACTTACATATTATGAGAAATCCCTTCTTATCAAGAAAGACATACTTGGTGAGAAACACTCTGATACTGCTTCGACATACAACAGTATTGGCGTCGCACTACGTAACATGGGTAAGTTTGCTGAGGCACTTACATATCATGAGAAATCTCTTGAAATCCAGAAAGACTTACTTGGTGAGAAACACCCTAATACTGCGACGACATACCGGAATATTGGCAGTGCGCTATGTGACATGGGCAAGTATCCAGAGGCACTTAAATATTATAAGAAAGCTCTGGAAATCATAAAAGAAATATTTGGTGAGAACCACCCTGATACTGGTAAGGCTTATCATAAAATCGCCCAGGCCCTATATGCCATAGGTAAGTATGCAGAAGCACTCACACATCATAAGAAATCTTTACAAATCCGGAAAGAAATACTAGGGGACAAACATCCTGATACTGCCGCGACATACCAGAATATTGGCAATACCCTAAATGCTATAGGCAAGTACGCAGAGGCACTTACATATTATGAGAAAAATCTTGATATAATTAAAGCAATATTTGGTGAGGAACATCGTGATACTGCTGCAACATACCAGAATATTGGCAATGCACTATGTGGCATGGGTAAGTACGCAAAGGCACTACAACATTATGATAAATCTCTTAAAAAAATTGAAGAAATCCTTGGCGAGAAACACCCTGATACAGCAAGAGCATACCAGAATTTTGGCAGTGCATTATATGCCATGGGTAAGTACCAAAATGCACTTATATATCATAAAAAATCTCTTAAAATCATTAAAGAAATCTTTGGTGAGAAACACCCTGATACTGGTGAGACATACCACAATATTGGCAATGCGCTGTGTGCCATGGGTAAGTACCAAGAGGCACTTACATATTATGAAAATTCTCTTGAAATCAGGAAAGAAAATTTTGGTGCGAAACACCCTGATACTGCTTCGGCATACCAGGGCATTGGCAATGTTCTATGTCACGTTGGTAAGTACGCAGAGGCGCGTCAATATTATGAGAAATCTCTTCTTATCCAGAAAGAAATACTTGGTGAGAAACACTCTGATACAGCTTCGACATACAACAATATTGGCGTCGCACTACGTAACATGGGTAAGTTTGCTGAGGCACTTATACATAATAAGAAATCTCTTGAAATCCAAAAATACTTACTTGGTGAGAAACACCCTACTACTGCTGACTCATACAAGAATATTGGCAATGCATTATTTTGCATGGGTAAGTACTCAGAGGCACTTTCATCTTTTGAGAAAGCTCTGGAAATCATAAAAGAAATTTTTGGTGAGAACCACCATGCTACTGCTACGACACACCAGGATATTGGCAATGCACAGTGTGTCATGGGTAAGTACGCCGATGCACTACAACATTATGAGAAATCACTTAAAGTTATTGAAAAAATCCTTGGTAAGAAACATCTTGATACTGGTAAGGTATACCAGAATATTGGCAGTGCACTACTATTCATGGGTAAGTATGCAGAGGCACTTACATATTATGAGAAATTTCTTGAAATACAGAAAGAAGTGCTTGGTGAGAAACACCCTGATACTGCGCAGACATACTGGTGCATTGGAAATGCATTTCTTGGCTTGGGTAAATATGCAGAGTCACTTCCGTGTCTTGAGAAAGCTCGTACAGTTTATGCAGATCAATTCGGTCCCAGACATGATGAAACTAAGGTCCAGGATATTAAAATCCGTCATGTTAAAGTGATGATATTAAATAATGTACTTATAAATTCTTGCAAATACATTGCCACTGAATTGATAGTTAAAGGCAAATTTAGCCAAGCAAGTCTATTCTTAAGTTATATTGGTTGGAATTTCAAGCCTTATTACAATTTTTAAAAAAGATTTGCAGTTTTTGTTGGCACATTTATGAAATTAAAATGATAGGTTTCACTTGTCTTTTTATGATCTTTGTAGTAGTTAGTCCTTGTAGTAAGGGCTTCAGTTTGCATACGTCATGCTATTCCTTATACCAGTCTGTATCTAATGGAGGACTGACCCTTTGTTTTGTCGTACCGTGACAAGTAGAAGTGTCATAATTCCAATTCAATATCCCTACCAAACTAAGCTTCCATTTCAACCTGTACTGCATTCACATATCTGTATCATGTGATATCTTCCCAGTATCTGTCAAGACTTTCCAGTTTATATATATATCAGTTTAGGCGTTCCATTTTCCTGACCTACTTTAATCTTCACATATATCTGTGAATTCACAGGAATCAATCCATTCACTAAGGCAAAACTGCAATTTCACATTCATCCTCAACTATGTGCTGGAGATTTGCTTCATTTAATTACAAAGATACTAGATGTAAACGCCTCAGGAACAACATTTGTTTTTGTGGTTGGAGGGGTTATGAAGTGTGTCAAAATAGTTAACGTAGTAGTAGCCAAGTTCTTGCATGCCAGGCATAGCATGCCTGAATACGGTAATGAGTCAATATTTTCAATAGGTGAAACTTGTGAATTTTACAGATATTGTATTCTTTCAAGTCACACATTTTTAAAGTTAGAAACATTCTTTGTGATTGATAGAAACAAAACTAATAACCGGTCTACAGTATAGTTCTATTGTATACAGAAAAAAAAAGAACCACAGATGATACACAGAAATATATATTTTGATGATGTTTAAATTTTATATGTTAAAATGGTTAGTTCTTCCTCATTGGAAAAATCGAGTCATTACCGTATATAGGTATGTTTTGTCTCAAAAATTATAAATAATTGAAAAACACGTATTAAACATTTAACAAATCCACAATCACCAAGGCATAATTTCACCTGATCTGGGGATTATGTGTGTATTTTATAAGATGGACCATTTAAAATGCTGACGACATTCTTCAAAATATAATGACTAGTATTATAGGTACTCGTTAAAAAGAAAGTGTGCGTCTCTGAAGTACCAAGTTGTATTATTTTAAAATCCCACGTCGCTGGCAGATACAGATTAGTGGTCCTTAGAATGTCTCCTCTCCCTCCAAGACAAAAAGCGAACAGAAACAAAAAACCTACACCCAGGCCGCTGTAAAAGTCCCACTATACTTCAATGATGACAGTGTGGGTCACCTACCTGCTACGATCCTGAATCTGCCACCGTGCGTAGTTTTGTATCTTGGTGTCCTTATCAGGTTTTAAGGTAGACTGGTTTTATTTGTGTTCCTTATATATAAATAAATTAGATTTCGTTTGTCAATAGCTTTAGAAATGATTAGCTAATATTTATCAATCAATATTTGATCTGCTCGCTGGTAAATTAAGTTAATTTTTCTGTAGCTATTGACAAATTAAACTGTATTTGTTTATCAAGTTTTAATGTTATCCATTATTGCTCATTCTGATAAATACCCTTTATCAGGCATAATTCCACTGTCGATTTGCTTTGTTCACTTGTGTTATTGTAATGTCAGATGTGTGATGAATATTAATTATATATAGTTAAAGTTGGGATGCTGATTTAGATGTTTTTTCATACCTTGTACTTAGACTTACTGAGACAGTGGTCATACATGTAGTTACACTGTAACTCGGTGAAAACCGTTTGAAATTACTTGTATATACTTTTTAAATGTTATTACAATATATGTACACAAAATGGATGCTAAGGTGTTGTGGGAGCAAAAACCACGAGAAAACTGTATGTAACCATTACCGTTGATATTTACAGCTGATAAATTCACTGATACATGTAACCTAGTATTACAATCTATGTAGTAATGGCAGATCAGCCGAAGTCTCATTTTCACGTTTTTCTCCCAAACTACAACGTTAGTAATACCTTAGGGCAGTGGGAAGATTGAGTCCTTAGTTGAATTTGATTATAACTGTTAAAAGTATATTTTGAAGCCATTTTTTAGCCTTCGGCAATTTCCGTTAAGCTTCGGCATGTGTGACAAGTATCATATGTTGTCAATAACCAGGGGTGGATTGAGGGTTATTTTCAAATTATCTTTGTTGATCCATCTTCCCTTTTTGACCGTCTTCCGACAGAAAAAAAACAACAAAAAACATTGATACTCGTCAGTGTAAATTTGATAATCCAGAAGACGGCCTGAATCTAACCCTGCTAGCACTATTCAAGATATCAGGATTTGATGGGCCAGTGAAAACGCCTGCGGCTGCCAAACACGGCGGAGTGAGTTCGATTCACACTCTTTTTTTAATCATTGTTATGGTTCAGTGATTGATGTGACGGGTATATCAGTTAGTGTATTTCTTAATTTATTATGATAAAGTAAACTATGGTGTGATATTACATGACATCATATATAAAATATACTATGACATGAAATGATATAACATGATATCATATATAGAGTATACTATGATATGATATTACATGGCATCATACATAAACTGTGTACTAGTACATGTACATATATATTACAAATGTAAATGAAGTAAACTTCATATTTTTGTTGACAGATGTGTCACTTTTGTCAATTAAATATTATTATTTCTCCTGCCGTTTTATGTTGTATGGAAGTTCCTTTTAAAATTCTGTCAGCAATGACAGAAACCCCTAACCCCGAAATGTTTCCAAGTGTCGGCATTTTAAATGTTTTATTCAAAATATAAATGGAGTTTTATTTTTATATAATAAAACACTAGTAGGAAAAGTATTAAATATGTTTTAACAGTACATTTAATTAATTGCAAATAAGACAGACTTTTTTAAATTGTAATCTTTCATGAACAGATTATATATGAAGACAAGAAACATGAAATATTTCGGGTTTTTGTTTTAATACTTCGAGGCGGTCTTATATGACATTGCCGCAACTATATCTGCAATTCTCGTCACTCCGGTTTTATATACACGTGCCATTTGGGGATCAGAACTGTAATTACCTATATTTTCAACTGGTTTATGTTTTATGTATCTGACGTACGTTCAGAGTAAACTACAGGTTTGAGTTACAAACAACAGCTAGGGGTAACCACTGATAGTAATACCCATGGAGTGCCATCATTAGTTTGAATATAGACTCCGATTGTTCACGCCCATAGCTTTGGATTAAGACTGATAAGTACACACACTGGACAAAAGAAGTGTCACCCCCTAACTCAGAGTAATGAAAGTAGGCAGATCTTGGGTCCTTATAATGCCTGGTCTACTTATAATGTGACTAATGAGTATAAAACTGCTATACCATGGAATTGTATTGTTGGTCTTGTACATGTACAGCAAATATTATTCCTGTCTTCCTCCAATATGGCAAGATACAGGTAATTATCTAACGGCTATAGGTGCAAGTTATTAACCTGAAGAGGCGGAATATAAGCAATGTCAGTATATCGATACAATTGAATTGTTTAGTCAGAACCGTGCAGAGGGTCTGGTCTCAGTATAGAAACACTGGATCTAGAGACAAATTGTCTCTGATGGGTCGTCCAAGAAAAACTACTGGCCGTAAAGACCGACGACTGATTTTGATGTCCAGGTTGTCAAAGTTCGACACTGCTTGTCAGTTGACAACACAGTGGAACAATTTCACACATAAGAATGTGTCTGTGATAATTGGTAGGCGTCGGTTACATGCTCATAGAGTGTACAGCAGGGTAGCAAGACTGAAACCTCTTTTATCGTTACAAAACAGGCAACGTAGAGTGAACTAGGGTCAACAGGATCTGGAACTGGACAGTCCATGACAATTGGTCCTACATATTGTTTTCTGATGAGTGTCGCTTTGGTCTTACCTCTGATGGCAGACTGGTACGATGCTAGCGAACTGCTGGTAAAGCATTTAATCCACATGTACTTAATTTTCGAACCCAGAGCAGCATATTCATCATGGAGTGGGGCTGCATCAGCATCCATGGCGTGGGCGAATTGATAGTGGTTGATGAAAACATGAATAACTAGAAATATATCGATGTTTTGGAGTCAAGCTTGCTACCATCTATTACTATCATGTTTGGTGACAGGAATTATCCATTTGTTTACCAGGATGACAATGTTCCTTGTCACAGGACCAGAGCAGTTGATGGTTGGTTTGACTAACAGGACATTCGCAGGGTGATGTGGCTTGCCCTGAGTCCGGTTGAAAACATAATAGAAAATGTGTGGAATGATATGTCAAAACTTTGGATAAATGCCCGTCTAACAAGCAGAGAAACTCTGTTATATTCAGTGTTTCATGCTTGGGCCAGCATAAGCCCTGAACGCATCAGACAATTATATGAATCCTTGCTTCGTAGACTGGTACCTGTTATTAGGTCACGTGGCTATGCCACTAAGTACTAATTTTGGACTTGAAATTGCATATTTTGGTAGAATGTATATTTTGTTCTCATTGTGTGATTTTTTGTGAAATTTGATGTTAATAAAATGATACCAGGAGCATATCATTCCACAGTCATTTATCTCCCCCATAGTATTGGCTCAGTAGGGGTGACACTTCTTTTGTCCAGTGTGTGTATGCGTAACTGAGCATCGCAGCCGGGATTGGGTTCCGCAGGCGGAGACTGCATTGTGACCGAGCNTAGACTGGTACCTGTTATTAGGTCACGTGGCTATGCCACTAAGTACTAATTTTGGACTTGAAATTGCATATTTTGGTAGAATGTATATTTTGTTCTCATTGTGTGATTTTTTGTGAAATTTGATGTTAATAAAATGATACCAGGAGCATATCATTCCACAGTCATTTATCTCCCCCATAGTATTGGCTCAGTAGGGGTGACACTTCTTTTGTCCAGTGTGTGTATGCGTAACTGAGCATCGCAGCCGGGATTGGGTTCCGCAGGCGGAGACTGCATTGTGACCGAGCATCGCAAACACAATTATGTTCCGCTGGCGGAGACTTCATTGTGACCGAGCAAGTGACAGAGCAACGCAAACACAATTGTGTTCCACTGGCGGAGGTTTTATCCGACGGCAAAGAAAAAAATAAAGACACTTGCTGAAAAAGGGTGAACGGTCTTAGGCAGGCTGCATAGAACACTCAAGTGGAATAGACGCAAAAGTGATACTTGGTGACACAAGTGTAGAACAGAATTATAACCAATCTAGCCGATAACATATAGTAGTTGATGACCGTTTTCTGGCAGTATTTATTAGTTTTTTCGACAAGGGAGATTTTTTTGTTTGTTTGCTTTTTAAAAGCCATTGACTCGTGACGTGGCGGTTTTAGGAAATTGCATCACCTTTGTGTCGTCTGAGTTTGGGAACTGTGAAAAAGAAAAAAAAATGAAAATGTACCCCAGTAGGGGGAAATATGCAGTAACTAATTGTCTGGAACCTAGTTGACAATCACATTTCTGTCATTAATTCATGTAGTGAGAGAAGTAGTCTAAATTTACCATACTGTGTGGAGAAGCACCCTCATATGCATCTAGTGTCTTTTAATAAGTCAGGTCTATCTAGCTTCTATGAGTTTGTCTTATTGGCCAATACTATTGTACATGTAGTGAAATAGTGATAAAGCAGGCTACTTCAGTAAATACGCCAATCGATTCATTTTGATGAAAAATAATAGCGCTGCACACGAACACACTCGGGATCTTTGCTTGGGATCCATTCGCCATATTGGGTGCATTGCTTCACCGGTGAGGAGGAGGCAGAGAGCTGGTAACCCTGGTTACACTCGTAGGACACAGTAGATCTGTAGGTGAAGCTTTTTCCTACCACCTGTCCATTGAGTATTCCTTTAGGCCGGCTACACTGGATTGCTGGCAGAAACAATATCGGTATACATAAATGTTTGGAAACTAAATACGTACAATTCAAGCTATCCAATAAATTCAAATGCATTTTACTGTGGGGGTTGTAGCTCAAGATAGCGTTACCTGAGAAATGCATCGTAAAGATCAATGGGCATACCCCTGTATATATGTAAACTGAACCAAAACACATCTGAAGTCTACAATTCCAACTGTAATAGTAAAAACTCTGTATATTATAAAAGGACGGAGGGATCACCGCTACCGCAATCCATTCATGTTCCGTAAAAGCAAACAAAACATACGGTTGTACAGTATTCTTCACAGCGTTATTCCGCCATATCCATCAACACTCCTCGTCCCATTACTTACGTTCACATTGTAAAGGTGTTCCCATCCATCGCCCGTCGTCCCCACACTGGATGTAGCCATCTCCGCCCACACTGCGGTAACCCACGGTACACGTGTACGTAATGGCCACGGTCAGGCCGTCAGTGATGGTTCGCCGGTCTAATGTATGGGCGTTCATTGCCGGGATCTCACAGGCCAGTCCTAATGAAGGATTATATAGAGTGGTTTGTATACTATTTTGTTTATGAGGCTTTAAATCGCGTTTTAACTCTGCCAATTGGTTTTCTCAAAGTAAAGTTGTAAAGAAACAAATACTGCTTACTTTTCTATCTAAATTTTGATATTAGATCGGGTAATACAAATAAATAATATACAGTATGGAAATGGTTAGTACTCACTGCCAGGGAAAGCATAGAACTCGTAGTTATTCGCAACCCTTCCGTTAGCACCACACCCGCCACTAGAAGAGACGCGGCTAGACTTCTGACCATTAACATAACACTCTGTCAGCATATAGCGGACTGTGCCTGGCTCTCTACTGCGTGACACATACATTGAGGCGCCGTTTATTTGGAAATCGAAGCCCTTGTAGGAGGACACATATCCCTTGAAGTAAGAAACATCGCCACTTATCGCATTTCCACGCGTGATTTGGCGCCAGCTGTTTGGCTGTACCGGCTGTGACGTCAGACGGTAGACTCGGGCGCCAGAGCTGTCCTTCACAGAGACGTACATGTTTGTCTTACGTGGCTTTGCTTGGTCTGAAAGATTTACCAGACATGATGGTTACCGTAACAAACACAAACGTACCGCCCAATAGGGCCTTACTGACTGACATAACTAAGTGATACCATACACTCTCAGTAGGGCCTTACTGACTGGACCACTAGATAACTAAAGCCTCGGTCACAACCGGTCGTACGGGCTGTAACGGCCTGTTAACGTCCAAATTTTGCGTAGAATCTTACGTGCAACGCAGGTGCCTCTTGCGAAATTTGGAGTTCACAGACAGCCCGTAAGCACGAACGGAGGATGTTGGTCATGTCTGAAAGATTCTACGAATAACCTGAGAACAGCGAGGCTGCAAGCGTAACTTGCTTCCCTCGCTAGGAGTTCGCCAGTGAGACGTACATGGTCTAAGACGCACGACGCAAGCAATGAAGGAGCAAGTGCCCTTTGCGTGTTGAGTACGACGCACGCCCTCACACCTAACGAACAAAGTCGAAAACAGGGCGGAGGTGCGCCGAACGTGCGTCACCCCTACGCCAGCCAGGAGTATAAAAGGTGTGCTCACGAGGCAGTTAACGACAATTGTGCAATCAGTACAACAATTTACAAAAAAATCGAATTTTGGTTAATTCAGCTTCTTATATGCCTCCAAAAGGCAAGAAAAAGAAGCTTAGAGAGCATAAAAGAAGCGAGAAAGAAGAAGAAAGAAGGGGGAAACAGTAGGCAAAACTGACGTACGCGGTCAGTACGTCATCACAAGCGAGTGAGGCAAGAGTGATGCAAAAGGGAACTACTTTTGCCCCGGGTTGCATTCTCTTCAACAGTGGTGAGTCCATGCCACGTACGCAGGTAGCAAGACACACTCAAGAAATGGGTTCAATTTCCACCACCATCGCACCTTGCAGTTAGCGTCCCTGCTTGCGTCTCATGTTGCCCCTGCGACTCACAAGGCAGACTGCCCTCTATCTCTAAAAACTCCACAGATTCTACTGCACGCAAAATTCGCAGTGAACGTACGATCCTAAAATTCGTGTGTCCGGCCGTACGGGCTCTTACCAGCTGTTTGCGTCCAAATTTTACGCAGAATCTCACGTCCCACGCAGGTCCTTCTTAAAAAAATTCGAGTCTGCAGACAGCCCAAAACGCACGTCACAAGCAATGAAGGAGCAAGTACCCAGCAAGTGCACAGCGGGAATGCGTCGCACGTGTGTCACCCCCACGCATGGTGTATAAAGGCGTGCTCATGACGTTAGCCCGTGTCTTTACAATGAACGTCGACTGCGTAACGTGTACAACAATTTTCAAAATTGTCTAATTTTTGCTCAATTTAGTTTCTAATATGCCTCAAAAAGGCAAGACAAAAAAGCTTACATAGTAGAAAAAAGGGCGGAGGAAGAAGAAAGAAGGGGAGAACAGGAAGAAAAACTGACGTACGCCATCAATACGTCATCACAAACGTGTGAGGCAAGTGTAAAGCAAAACTGACGTAAAAGGCCACTACATTTTGCCGTGCGTTGCATTCCTTCGTAAGTGTGCCAAGTACGCAGGGAGCAAGACAAACTCAAGAAATGAGTATAATTTCCACGGCCATCGCTCCTTGCAATTAGTGCCAATGCTTGAAAGGACAACTCATGTGGCCCTTGCGAATCGCAAGGCAGACTTTCCTTTACCTATACGGGCCCCACGACCTCCACTGCACCCAAAATTCGTAGGGGACGTACGGTCCTAAAATCCGTGCGTCCGGTTGTAACCGAGGCTAAGTGATACCGTATACTGTATCAGCACTGGGGAATGGCTCTGTAACATAGACACCACTCTCATATGTCACCGGTCCTGTCTAGAGGCCTTAACAATTATTAATATAAAATAGATGATAAAAACGATAAATTCACATGTACATGTACATATACAAGTATGTATACAAATCTATATTATTACAGACTTATATATGCAAATATTGCTGACTTCAGATTCCGGGCAACAATCACCGTAATAATCATTATCTCCCCAGGGACCTTGACCCCTGCCATGGACCTGGTTTTTTCCTTTATCACTTACCGTAATCATTATTATTTCCCCAGCGACCACTGCCTTTGCCCCGGCCTTTGCCAAAGTCTGGGAATATCATCTTGGTGAAGGACAACAGGGCATCTCCCATATCGGCCTGAAAAAGATTAGTCACATTTATTTCAAAGTTGCAAATCTTTCGCTGGAGATTGGTGTTTTAGGAACACAGCAGTGTTCCCTCTTGAAATTAGA